ATAACATTGGAACAATAAACCAGCTTACAGTGTCACTCATTGTCGATAGAGTCTGAGATGGACGAAGGTACGTAGATCAACCTCTGTGCTCATTGTTGATGGGTTTCCATACAGTCTTTAACGTGGTATAACCTTAAGCTAGGTTGGGGATTATTCGTGAAGTCCCATTATTTCAATTTCCATCAATTTAAGTTGTTTTCTTCTTTTGTTGGTGATGGTTACACTTTGTTTCACTCCTCTAGATGGAAGTGGGATTGCAAGCTAGTGTTGAAGGACACGTTTGGCATGACTTTTGCTTCCCGTAAAACATCTTTTAGAGGAAGCTATTTTAATTTTATTTGAAAACTAATTTTTAAGAAATTGGAAGTGCTTTAGAGGAATCAACATTGGACTAGTTATCTCTAAAAAAAATTCTAATTAAAAGAAATACTTTCATAAAATTAGTCAAACGGGTTCAAAAGTTACTTTTGGGTCTCAAAAACTCTTTTTGGCTCTCCTAAGAATATTAGGGCTTCTTCGGACAACCAGTGTCAATTGACTATTTCTCTGCTCTTGTTAAATGGCCTATTGGTTTGTATTAATTTTTTAATTGCATGATTGACTGGGAGGAATGAGGGGCTGATCATATTCTATGCCTGTTGCTATCCTGTTTTTAATTTTGGATATTGAGTTTCCAATATCATCCTTGTTATTGAGCTAGCTTGCAATGATTTAGAACATGCCTCCTGTATCTTTGTTGAATCTCTTACTTTGTCGTGTCAATTAGTGAAATTATTTTTGTTTAGTTTTTCTATATTTATTAACGAGTCAATTTTACTTTTACGGCATGCATGCTGACTATTTATTATAGAGTTTGGTTGCAAGAATCTTTTAAAATACTTTTACCATTTTGTACTTGCTACTTGTGGCTTCATATGGACATTCAGAAACCGAGACGTGGGAGGGATTTAGAACCCTTGTCGGTATCAACTTTAAAATGAACTGAATAAAAATGAAATCCTCGAAAGTGGCAGTGTATTTGTATGGATGGTTGAATTACACACTTCAAAATTATGAACCAAATTTGCTCGAAGGTTGCTTGAGACATTGATAGAATGCATCTTTATGACCTGGGATCATGTATAGATTTGTATACGTCTTCTTGCCTTCCTATGCGTGCAATTGCATCTCAAGTTAAAAACGTTAACATCCAATTGTCCAAGCACAGACGACAGCAAAAAAATATTGAAGCCTTTAGGTCGACCGGTCTTGAATACTTTACTGTTGTGACTTGATCCGTATGCTGATATTCCATTTGTGTAGTAGTCAAAAAGTCCTGGAACCAGAACCATGCCACTTGTGTAGAAAACTCTTTAACACTTTCTTGTCATTGGCTTGTTTGAAAAAAAGGATGGCAGTTTTTGCACCAATTACTCACTGCCAACAGTGAACTGTCAACAGGGTGAGCAGATTTTTCTGTGCAAATGGCAAAGCTGAACCATCGATTGATTATGGTACTTTAATACTGAGACCAAAGTTTTCTAGCATCAAATTGCAATAATTTACATCACGAAGTTATTCTTGAAACTTCCAGAAATTAACTAACCTAATTATACGACATTGGTGCTCCCAGTTAACATGAAAAAAGAGCAACAGCTGTACAGCCAGAACTACACAGAGACTGCTAAACAGAGAGAAGGAAATGGGAGCTGGACGAAAATTTCCTTCCTTCAGCTTTGGTACTTTGATAGGAACCACAGCTATTTCAGCAAAACCATAGATCTGATCATATAGGGACAAGTTACTAGGTTTTTCTAAAGTAAGAAAGAAGCGTTGGCTGTTTATCATCGGCACCCTTGCTTTTCTTTCTTACTGAACTTGCACTTAACCTGTCAGTTTCTCTAGCAAATGGCTTAGCATCTGAAGAAAGCCCCTCATAGTTTCGCTTCCCCGGAATCTGTGCAGCCCCTTCCACAGACACCCCAGTAACATCTGTTTTGATGTCATAATCATCTTTGTTTGAAATAGACTGATGGTATCTGTCTTGAGTTGCAGGTTCATCTTTGGTACCTTTCTGTTGATTTATCTTAATGTTCTTGTCTTTTGTTGTGGGGTTTTCAAGTTTTGGTTTGATGTCATAATCATCTTTGTTGGTGATAGATTGATGGTAGCTGTCTTGACTTTCTGGTTCCTCTTTCGTGTCTTTCTGCTGATTGATTACAACAGGCTCATCTTTTGGTGTGGGATTTTCGATTTTTGGCTCAGGTCCACGATTTACTCCCTTCGAGAAAAATTGGGAGATAGGTCTGGTCTCCTGTGTCTTTAACTGTATCTGTAACAACTAATGCAAGGTCAATGCATGTTAATATTTCTCGATGGGAAATAACATACTTGCACTGTACATTTATATAACGACAGTTGAGTTGCACGAATTTTTTAACAATTCTTTCAAGAAGCGTGATTCCATAATCAAAACCATCAGAAGAAACAAAGATTCTGGTGCAATATTAGTTTTTGGGTCCACATTGACACCGACTACATTCCTCACTCACACAGCAGAACCAGTCACTCCGGTCACTCGGCATAATTTCCTATCGCTCCAGAAAAGGAACTCCCCAGCATGAGAGGGAAATGGACTCTTTGAAGTTGCCATTAAGCCCCCGTTTGAACCCCATTAAATTAAATTAAATTCCATTACTAGTGACACATATCGCCCCCGTTTGAGCCCCATTTTTTCTCGTGCCATTACATTAATTTTTTTCTCTCTTCATTTCAACCACACATTTATCAAATAAAATAATATTACACACAAATCTAAAACTTTTCAACCACACATTCCCCCATCAATCACTATTCTGAAAATTTTCAACCCCCAAAAATGGGGGCCAAAGAGGGGCTAAGTAGGAACTGGTGCTTAATAAGCAGCTCCAAAAGCCGCTAGAATGATTTTCTGGAAACAACTTCAAATTATATAGCATCGTACGTGTCATGCAGTACAACAGAAAGTCCTCTCTTTTGCAGTAGATTGTCAAACACTATCTTATCACGACCAAAGTTCTCATCTGGTCAAAAACTAATGATGCAGCATATACTAGAACAAAGAAAGTAGTTTTTACCTCCTCAATGCACTCTGGTCCATCAAACGAAAGCTTACCCATTGCAGGTGTCACTGGATACCAGGCCTGCAAGTGAAGGTTAAAATTTTTCTAACGCTCAATTCCAATATCTCTGATCACCAACAAAAGCAGACAAGAACTAGCCACCTAAACACTTAATTTTGAACCCTTACCAAATCTGTCTCTTCATATGGTTTGAGTATCGAATCAAGATTTGACAAAGAAGAATCATTCAGCCACCTATCAGTCGAATCCTTGTTTCCCAAGATAACAGGCATCCTATCTATAATAACAATACAAATAAACTTATGTTATGAGAGTCAAATGCAGCAGCACTCAGGTGCTTTACAAATGCAGAAATTCCGGAGTTGCATTCCTGCAAATCTGCATAGACTGCAGGTTTGGACAAGTCAGCAACTTCCGCAAAGTTGCATAGAAATCAGGATTGGACAAGTCCGGCAGATGCCATGTGGCATTTCTATAGTCGAATGACTTCATAGATCACACTTAATCGCCTTACATTAAGTGGGATATGAAGAGAATCACAACAACATTACAAACCATGGAGCCATTCCAGAGTTGATGATGATGAAGTCGTCACGATAGTGAAGGTATACAAGACCTCTCCTGCATAGAGAAAAGAGAAAACAGGATTGAGCGACTGTGGTGATGTGTCTACAGGAAGAGTCTCAGAAAGCATAAAAGACCCAGGAATTCTATTGCAGTAGCTGTCCATCTGCCAGCACCTCACCCACAATGCGAAACATAAAAGAAATTTCCAAATAGTCATCTATAAAATTTGGAAGGCAAGGAAAACAACATGACACCCTAAGAAAAAACTTACTGTTGATCTTGCAAATGGTTGCTCAAAAGAAAAATGAATTCGCAAGTTAAAAAATGTTATAATTGGTACTTCACCTTCTGGATTTTTCCAAGAGTCAAATAGGGCAGCAAAGACTAGGGGACGACCATCCTTAAAACGTATGTAGTAAGGTTGCTTTCTCGACCCATCTTTTTTCCATTCATAAAACCTGAACACAAAAATGGACAAAGCAATTGACCAATATGACTATAACCAGACAAATATAAAACTTATCAACACCTTGTTGGCAATATTAACAAATATTTGTTGGGTCAGATGAATTCGAATTCAGCTTAGAACAACCAGAATTCAATCCTTTTGCCTGGGAGCAGCGGTCTGATGTTTGTTCCATTTACTCAAAATATTATTATGATCACTAAGAATAAAATTCTAAGAAGAAAACATAAACTACAGAAGAAAAGGTTTTGAAAAAAAAAAAAAAACCTACAGAGGAAATGTTAAAACAACAATTATACCGATGAAGGCTGCATAAACAATTGCTTTATTAAAAAAATGATCCAGTTATACAGTGTCTTCTATTATTTTCGAATGATAACAGAAATACTGGAGAATAACATAACAAAAACCACAATAATTCAGAAGGTAATTAAAAAAAAAATGTTAAGAAGGAGCTGCTGTGCTTCTTAAGAAACAATTCTAACCTTCCTCTTCATATATATGGTTAGGATAAAAAGGTAAAAATGAACAGCTAATAATATGTGACTACTTCTACATATAAATACTATAAAAATATAGAAATAGACACCAAAAGTTTAGAAGACGGTAAGGTGAAGAAATAAATGGCAAACAACAAGAGCAACAGCGTCAACTAGACAGTCTATTAGATATGGAAATAATTGTACAGGACTTACCCTTCAACAGCCACTAGACACCTGTTGTTAGGAAGCAGACGACGAAAAGAAGCCTTCTCTCTAATTGATTCAGATCGCGCATTGAACTGGAAAAGATGTCTATCAAATTGTTTTAAATCGACAGCAGTATGATATTAATACCATATCAAGTATTATTTACACCAGAATCATTAAGCATCTGCAACTAAATGTTAGTACTTCAGTAATATAAAAAATAAGTGGTCAGTTAAAAAAGGTCGAGAAACAAGACAGCGGGAGGGGCTGCAAAATAATCATCTACCCTTGAATTTTCACTTTTGACTTTCAATCGAAGATGGGTATGAGAAAGAAAATTCTTAAGTTGGAAGTTCCTTCGGAAGTCGATAGAAGAAAACAGAAGGCGTGTGCGGTGACAAACTCCAAAACTAATGTTATTTATCATCTGTACTTTAGAATGAGTGCTAACACCTCTTTGAAGTGGTCAATCCCAATATTTTTTTGTGAAACGATCTAAAATAAAGGGGTATATTTGTGAATATAGGGACCGAACACATTTTGTTTAATTTCCTCGTATTAGTAGAAATCCATTTCCTTCCACGCATCTTATCAGCTCCATCATTCAAATTGTCCGTACTACATTGGACTCCATATTCTCCAATCTATAAACCACCTTGCCAGAGATAATGGCTTCTATTTGTTTCCTTTCACTTCCTCCAACCTTGAAGTCATATGAGAAATCAACAATCTATCCCCATTTTCACCTCCATTTAGTATTCTGGAACGGTTGAATTTTACACATTATCACCACACATGGAATCTGGGAAATATGAACTATAGATGGTCTGCATTCACTTAAGCGTGGAGGCTGATGTTCAGGTTCACAGAAGGTATTACAGGTAAAGGATGACGTGTGTTCAGAACCAATGCTGGAAATAGAAGACACAAATTTTACACTCAAAAGGCTCAAAATGGTAGCATTGCTCATTAGAGCATATGAGGATTGTTCCTGAGGAACTCGTAATGATATATATACAATTATATTCCCTCCATTCCATTGCTATCGTTATATTTGCTAACAATATGAAGTCAAATAGTCAATCTTTGAAAATAAAGGTTAGATTAAGCCTCCATTTGGTTACCAACTTATAAATGGTTAAAAAATTCAGTCAAATATTAATTCCAAACTTATATTCTAATTATTGCTTATTATCCACACATTCAGTGAGACCCCACTGCGATTTCCTCTTTATAAATCAATTTATTTTTGGATATTACAAACTTTCAAATGATAATATTTTCTATAATTTTGTAGCTTGAAATTCTCCAATTCTATATGTCACGGTGAATTGCGCACAATACCATGTACCGAGATGTGACTATACCGAAAAATAAAGAAGTACAGCTCTGTCATATTAACAATTTTTTTTTTTTATGTCACAGGCCTGACATTTAGAAGCAGAGGACAGATTGAGAAACATGAAAGTAGATGGATGAAATTATTTTCATATTTAATGGTAGAATTTTGAAGAGGCAGTTCACAATTTTCCCGTGGTTGGCCAAAGGCTAAGAGTTTCTAGTTTATGTAAATAGAGTGATCCATTAAGGAGCTAAAAGATCAGCCAAAGAAAACATGCTCATATATGTGAATTCACCGAAGAACAGCAATTATCTCCAAGAAAACGTAAACAAAAAAGGGATAACATTAACAGGCAAGATAGTCAACTAAATAGGTAATAGTCAGTTCTATAAAAACTGTGTAAACGAAAAGAGCTGAACTAAGAATTGGTGCTCGATCTGAGCACAATAAGCCGAACTATAAATAAAATCGGTGCTTGGCTTGTTTATCTTTTTATGCTGGTGTGGTGACTATGAACCTTCTAACTTGAATCCAACCCAGGCTCAACTAGATACTAATTTGTTTCTAAAACCAAGCTTGGGAAAAGAACATTTATTTTTATGAGTTCTCAAAAATTTGTTCAAGCTTGCTAATTTATTTGATCGGCTAGAGATTAAATTTTAAAGCAGAGGAACTCTAAATTGAGTTGAAGGTGCTAGGTCTTTTTGATTCCCTACAAACAACTCGAGAAGGACAGACAGCGTTCTTAAAATTCACTTATGCTGCTTTCAAAGAGCTGTTACAATATCCTAATTTGTGTGTACCCCCGCACTCCTACTCCAAATAATTATATGAGTATAGCAGTGGAAGAATTTCTCCGTCAAGAAACTTCATAATATAACAACACGCGCTCACTCACTCACAAAAAAAAAAAAAAAANCAAAAAAAAAAAAAAAAAGACTAAACACGTGTTAGGTCTTTTTAAGAGCTTAACATAATAGTATTACCATCCTGAAGTGATCGGGCTTTTCAGATTTCTTAGTGAAACTCGGAATCAGCCCCCATTTCATGCAGTGAACTACAGCACCGTTGCAATCCCCTCCGTCCTCCCTCCGAACCACAGGCACGTTGAACCCCGGGGCCACATTGTTCGACGGCCGGTACCTGTTAGATTTAAACACTAGTTGTAATTTACTCAATTCAATAGCTTTGAGACTCTGAAAAAAACTGAAATAAGTTTAACAAACAGCAAGTTGATGAAGATTGATTTGGGGAAGAAGATTCAGTTACCGGTCCATATTGACGTGACGGATGGGCCGACCATTGAGATGGCAGGCCCGGGGGAAATCGTCGGGCCTGATGGTACAACGAGCTCTTCCGCACATAGGTTTCTCCACTTGCTGCTTCTCTTGGATTCTGGAATTGTACCGTCAACTGAAGCAGGGGCGGGAAGAAAGTATATAGGGCTTGTTTTGGTAAGAGATTTTAAAGAGCGATTAACAAGGAGGGTTAGTTATAAATAAATGTGAAAATTATTTTGAAAATGAAATAATCAAAATTTAATCAATGATTTACTTCTTAGTGGGTGACATCGTGGTACTGGATGTGAGTGGGAATTAGGGATGACAACGAGTCGAGTTGAAATTCGAAGCTCGGGTTCGACTCTAGTAAAATGGGTTCGGGTTTTTGTTTCAGGCCTCAACGGGTCGGTCCGATTTTTATTACTACATAGCTACCTCCCAAAATGGGGTTTGGCTCAAACTTCAACTCGATTCTATCGAGACTCAGGCCAAGTCGGCTCGGGCTTTTTTCGAGTCGAGCCATGAGCGGTCTAAACCAACAAGCCAAATTGACATCTCTAGTGGGAATTGAAAACCGCTCAATGGCAATTTGTTAAAATAATTACTTTTATTAATAATTAATTCATATACATTATTTTTAAAATATACTTTTTTTTCTTTTTCTTTTTAACTACGCATCGCTCAATAAAATAATATTATATATAAATTTAATTTTTTTTAATCACATATTTTTCAATAAAATACTATTCCAAAATATATTTTAGGCAAACAATCTTAATGCTTATATTTTAGCTACATTTTAGTAATTTTATTAATGTGATGTTTTATTAATTTGTACAAAATGATTTTTAAAAATTGTAACTAATGTATGAAATTTTTTAAATTTATATGAAAAATTATTTTATAAAAAAATGAAACTCTGGCTAATTGCAAAGTTATTTTTGCTTGCATTTGTCCAAAATTTTCAACCTTATTCCTCCGTCCTTTTGTCTTTGAATTTTACGATAAATTAATAAACCGCCATTTTCTTAATTCTCTTCAAACGAAAAAAAGGAAAAAACCTCATCACAACCCATGGCAATTCGAGGAGAAAAAATTCAATGATTATTGCTCCAAATCACGTCCAGATCTGAAGCAATTCGCATTGTTCTGAAAATGAGTGGCGCGCGATTGTGTTCGTTGTTGTTCGAATTGGGTTACGAAGGATACGAGTCACTTGATCCGGACAGCTGCGAATGGCCCTTCCAATACGACGACGTTCGGCCCGTCCTCGACTGGCTCTGCTCTAGCCTCCGCCCCTCTAACGTTCTCTCTTCCTCCGAAGTCTCACTGTAACTATGACTCTCCCTTTCTCCTAATTCACACACATTTACATGTACATTCCGCTGTATGATTGTTTTCTGTCATCTATTTGTTAATTTATGCTGTTTGTGAACAAAATTTTATTTAAATGTTTTAGCACGGTAAGAATTGCATTTGATGGCTGGGTTTTACAAGTTTTTTTTGTTCTGAAATTGTGTTTTTTATTTTATTCGAGGGATTTTGAGTGAATTTGAAGGGTATTATGATTATAGGTTTCCTTATTTTCCGAAGTTAAGTCTTTTTTGTGTATATTCACCTGCTCTTTAATATATAATATGATTTATCATTTATGAATGTAAGGACTGCAATGGGAAGGCATTGACATGCATATGGATTAAATGTTCTATCTCCGTGCTTTATTCTGAGTGTTCTGTTACCCAATCTTTTACCTGTTCTTTCCACTTTAACTTCTATCCAGCTTCAATTTTTCATCAAGACTTATGCACTAAAATTCGTGAATTTATCGACCAAAACAATACCTTTCTCTGTTGTAGATATTAAAGTTTATAACTTTATTATCCATTTATACTGCTATACATTTTTCTTAGTTTCTGCAATTTCTGTAATTGGGGAACTTTTTGTTGAACTTCATATGCAACTTTTTATTTGATACGTATCGGCATTTACTAGCCAATGATTAGCTTCTTTTATTCTTTGTGCATTTAGGTACAAGCAATTTTTAGAGGAAGGGAAGCTTTTGGAGGTACATCTAGATCTGTTTCTTTTATTGGTCGTCTCTTTCTCTTTCGTCGTGCTGGAAAAATGTCCTCCATGAGTTGATGCTTTAGTTTTTGCACATTTTTGGGCTGTGTCCTACAATGAGGACGGGAATCCTAGAAGTAGTTGCTAGACTTTGTCCTTTAGGACAAGAAAGTGCTGTTTGTGGAGAGTCCTTGATGTGTGTTAAATTGTGGAGGGTCCTTGATGTTTTTTTTAACGTTTCATCTAATAGCTAAGTTTTTTAAAGAGGGCCACACGTCCTCTTTTAAATCTAATCTTCAAACATTCCTCACTTGCAGGATATTTATTTATTTTCATCAAAGGTCTTATACGTGTAAAATTTTCATAAATGAGTGGTGGTGAGATTTGAACCTAGATCTTTTGCCCAGCTGTGTTATCGTGTTCATTTATCTCCTCGAAAAGCTTAAGCTTTTAGAGAGGGGCACGTGTATTCATTTAAATCTAATCTTCGCCAAAATGATTATTCCTGTTTTTAAATTGCATGACATTTTGTCCTGTTTCTGTCCTAAAAGCTTATATATGCTTTTTGGTGCATAGTTACTTCACATTTATTAATATTCGTTATTTCCTTTTCTGTTATTTTGGGTTATTTGGGGAATATCATCTCTCTTTACTTGTTCTATGCTCTTACAAAGAGTCATATTTCCATATCAAGAATAATAGGGATGTGATGTTATCCTTTTGTTTTCACAATTTGTGTAAAGGCGGGGAAGAGAATATGTGAGCATCTAATTTAACAAATACCATTCTCTATTTTTAAGAACTGTTTGCTGGGCATTGATTTTATAATTCAAAATATTTTAGTTTTACATGTCAACTAACTATATATTCTATGCTTAATGAATTATTTTCTCTTCTTATATTTTTAATTATACTTTTAAGTGTTTTGGGTTCTATCTTTATATTTGTCTTGCTGTCATATAATAACATTTTCACTTATGCATGAATATTTTGATGCCACTAGGGAGAAGATTTGGACTTTGCTTATGATAGCATTTCAACCTTTTCTGCAAGGAGAGACAACCAGGAGGCAGTTTTTGGAACTGAAGAAGGATTGAAAGAAATACGGTAACAGTTGTTGTCCTTTGTACACTTAAATTCGTTACACACCAAAATGATCCAAGTTTTCATTAATGAACTTGGGTTTTTTAGTTTATTAGCAAGGTTTAGCCTGGCTCAAATATGAGCAAACTGCCAAAGCCATTTCAACAGCCAGTCAGACCTCTTATAGCTTGAGCTTGAGAGCTCTGATTGGCTTGCAATTTTTAATTTCTACTATTACTTTAGACCCGAATTTGGGATAAACTCTAATAATTTGTATGAACTACTATCTCATCTAAAAGTTTAAGATATGTATTCATATATATATATTTTCTTCAACAAGTCGCCTCTCATGTAGGTTGGTTTCATTATTAACAATCAAAAGCCTAGCACATTCACAATTTTTAATATATGGGTGGTGGCGAGACTTGAACTTGGGTGTGTTGCTCAGCTTTGATACTATATTGACTCTCTCATCTAAAAGCTTAATATGGTAGATTGGGCCATATATGTTCATTTATATCCTGCATTTAACAATTTATTTAATAGGAAGATATGTGAAAAAAAAAAAAAATCAATAAAGAAGTAACAACAATGTTAAATAGCTTTGTATATGTACGTCACTGTACTGTGTCCAATACATATCAGCAAATGGTGGTTGGATTTTCCAGCATCTTAAGTCGCATTTTATAACATGTTTCATGATGTCTGTTCTGCAAAACATACACAAACTCAATTTATGGTTAGGTTTGAGTATGGCCGAGAACATGTTGCCCAGCTCGAGTACCAAACCTAGTCACGCATGTTTCAGGAATGAGTCTATAGCTTGTGTCCAGATAGCTTCATTTGCTTAAATAAATGTTTTATTCACATTATATATCATCACTGAAGCTTATTTTTGCAGTTTTGACCTGGGTTCTCAATATTTTCTTCAAATTCTGGCTCTAAAGTTCCATATGCATTTTTCATGATCTCTTTCTTTGCTCATCATTGCCCATGCACATGGGCTATTTTCACATATTGCTGAAGAATAAGATTTTATTGCTGTGATTGTAATGTTATAGACAATCTCTTTCAAGAAATTATAATGCTTATGTTGCTCGGTTTTGAAGATGGTGTGCTTTTGTATTCAGTGATGCTACTTTAGCTGCAAAAGCAGAAGCTTTGGAGTTGCAGAAACAGCTCCGGTCTCTGCAGCATCAAAATGATCTGCTCACTGGGCAGGCTTCAGCATTGATTCAAGGAAGAAGAGCACGAGTTGCAGCCACATCTACTGTAAATGGACAATTAACTTCCGTAGATGATACCCTTTCGGCGAGGAATTTGGAGGTTTGCTCGATAATATCAATTTCTTGGCTAACTGTAGCATTAATGTGGTCCTACGGATGTGTTTTTTACGTTCTTTCCAGGTGGAATTTGTTATTTTTGTTTCTTTACAAGTCCATAAGCAAAAATTTAAGGGGCTACGTGTGCGGGACATTTATTATTAAGTATATAAATGTTAAATCTTTTACATGCTAGACGATTATGGATAAAGCTTAGTTTGTCAAATTACAAACTTATCTAATGTTCCAATGCGATGACTTCCTGCCTGCAAACAATGAATATCATACTGCAAAGGCTTATTTTATTTTTTTACCTCAAAGCAGTTGATGAGTGAATGGAATATTGAAATCCAATTCGTTTCTTTCTTTTGTTCCTTTTCATCTTTCCTCACATATGCACCTCGAAATTAGTTGTGCCAACCTATAATTAATGTCTCAGGCTCTCAGCTGAGTTTTTCACATGTATTTATTTTAAAAATGGATGTCAACGTCCAGTTTATTGTCTGCTTGCTGGCTTTTCAGTATCAAGGTTATAATGACTACCATTGTTTTTGGACTGAGATGTTAGTAATGTGTCCTCTTTGTTATATTGTTCTTTTCCCTCTTAACTTGTAGATGTACTAGTTCTATGCATGTCGTTTTGATTGTGTTCATTGTGACTTAGATGAATGCAGTTCTCGGACGGATGGCCTCTACTGCTCAAGAATTGTCTCATTATCATTCGGGCGATGGTATAACATTCCCTTGTTCCCTTAAATTTCCTAATAAATAATTCTTAATAGATTTTGGAGTTCTGCATGCATAAGAAGTCTTAAATTTCATTCAGGTTACTCTAGTATTTCCAAATATTAGTACGCTTACAGGTTCTTGTCCTTAATTGATATCATAAATAACATTAAATTGGAGATGTGGTCTTATTTTGGGTCTTTTCAAAACATTCAGTGGTGCTATTCTCTGACAAGAAAGGTATAGGTGTAGTCTGACTCTGATTCAAATGGATGACTTTTTGCCTTGGTTTTTTTACTTTGATTAAAGTTATTAGAGCCAACTAGTTGGAGTTAGAGTGAGCTCGACCCTTGCCTTCACCTTTGTGCATCAAAACCTAAATGAAGCCAAGAAAATAAGTGATCTTTCTACTTTTGCTTCTCCAAAAAAAGAAAAGAAAAAGAAAATGCTGTCTACAGTTGAAATTTATATAGCAATTAGAAGACTTGTCGAAGCTTAGAAATGGAAATTCCAATGAAGGTGCATCTGTTAAATTATGGCGCTCCATTTTTTTCCTGTGCCTATCTGATGGCTTTTTATTGTTTTTTCATGCAGAGGAACCGATCTATTTAACTTATTCAGACTTCCATTCCTACTTGCTTGTGGATGCGTCTTGCATGAAGGAGCTAAATCAGTGGTTTGTCAAGCAACTAGACACGGTATATATGACAACAATACAAGCTTCTTTATTGTGTACCAAACATTTAGTTAAAGTTTGGTGCTTTTAGAATATAATAATAAATAGAAATGTCATGCTTAGTTACGCTTCCCTTTTACATCGACTACTGCTAACCTCCGAATTGGTTAGAGGGGGCATGCAAATTGGGCATTAGTCCGCGGTCATTATCTACGAGCTACTGGGGCACTCTTGTGTGTTTGTGTGTGCTTTTGAATGAGACAGTAACTATTGAAGTTTCAAGTCAGTTATACATTTATACTTTATTAAGGTCGAAAACTTGTGAAAATTCAGTATCTTTCACATACACAAGGTGTATGAAAAAAATATACTGAAAACCAATTTTTATGTTTACTTGCCTTGAAATTGATTTATGGATTCACATTAAAAGTGAACCATCCAGTTCTGTTTCTGAACTTATTGCTTGTTCTTTTATATCTTTGGCGATTCTCTGGCTTGGAACTGTATATATTGGTTTATCAGAATCACAACAAGGCAAAGAATCTTCGATTCAGTTTAATTTTATTGCTTGAAATGCTATGTATGTATTGTTGCATGAAGTATTTAAAAATATTTAATCTCACATAATCTTTGTTTCTTTTGTTTCGTGTGGTTGCACCAGGGTCCCTATAGATTAGTGGCTGAGGAGGGAAAATCAAAATGTTCATGGGTGAGTCTCAATGAGACCTCGAATGTCTTGGTACGAGGTACCCGTCTCTTCCTCTTTCCGTAAGGAAGTTTGTAGTGTGAACGTCTCTATCTATCATACTTTCCTCTTCCAGTATTAGCATTTCTTTTACTTTTTTACTTTTTTCTCCTTTTATTTCTATAAACCATGCACACTAAAATTTGATCTTATTGGACTGACAGTTATCCCCATTCCTAATTAAGAAAAGAAAGGAAGCTGATGGATAAGGAGAATTGTAAAGATGCCTCACACAACACTTCTCAGAACTCAGATGCATAAGAAAGCATAGAGCCTTAAAACATGTAATAAATTGTTTCTACCTGAGAGGTTTAAGCTCTCATGGCTACCTCAGATTTTGTTCCCACTGACTGAATAAAGTTCTATCAGCAGTCCTACTGAAATAAACATTGTGTTGTTTTGACGAAGTAATGACTGCCATGCACTTTTAATTTCACAGATTCCATTAGAATCCATGCTATGTCCACAGTCCACTTGCATTTCTTCTCTTGGATACTATAGGAAGTGAATCACTCTTGTTCTTTTACCCTCCATGGTCAGTTAGTGGCTTGCTTCTCTTTGCATCAACAAATCTTTGTCTAATGTATAACATAGGTGATTTCTTTTACAAAGTCTTGTAGCGGTGAATGAGATTTTAGACCTGCTAAAAATTTCATTGGTAAGAACTGGATCTCCTGCTAGAGAAAAATGATGGTTTGATGCTATGGATTGTGTGACTGTTTATTGCTTTCTTTTGTTGGAATTGTGGTTGAAAGAACAAATCTTAGTATTTCAAGTTCCACTGGTACAATTCTTTTCAATATGTTTTAACTTATAATCATCATTTGACTTGTTAACACATACTCACAAGAGATGTAAAAAGATACTAGGAAAGTTTCATACACATTGGCTCGGTAATTTGAGATGCTTATTGATGCTATATTCTGGTGTGCAACAACCTCCTGAATTTTTCTCATTCCATTAAAATGGCAGATTCAGAGAACTCGCATCATCAGCGCCTTTCTGAATTGCAGCGGCTTCGTTCCATGTATGTGCTTTGTTTCCTTAGATTGTCTGTTGACTGGTAAATGTCCTGTGACAAAGTGATCATTGAGTAGGTAAAGTTTAAAGTAGATAGCTTTGTAAATCTTCTTGTGCATTATTTGCAATGATATTTAAGTTTACTCTTGACGACAGACACTCCTAACAAGAACTATCGTTGTAGGAAGGGGAAGAAGAGAGAGAAAGGGGAGAAGAAAGGGAAGAAGTGGAGGAGAGGAAAAAGAGAAATATAGAGAGGGAGAGAGAAAAACCGAGAGAGATAGAGAGAGAGAGAGATTGGAGAGAGAAATGTGTTTATTCGATAGTCTGTCTTTCAAGGAAAACCTTATAGCTACTTATAGCTGAAATTGCTTATAAGAAATAAAATAAAAAACCAAAAATTCTTTAAGAGTAAACTCTAGTTGCTTTTCCTAAAATAAGTATCCAAAGTTGGCAGCTATTCAAAAAAATATCTTTATTGATCTCCATCAACTCTCCAATGTCCAGCCTAATATTTATATCCAAAATGTTACTAATCTCTAATGGCTAGTTAAGGAACTAACTTGGTTCCACATTGCACAAGTACTATGTCCAATATTAATGTTTATCAAGGAAAATTTCTTTGCTCAATATGAGAAATCTGATATAAATGCGTGTAAATTAAAAATAATTCAAGTTACTGTGTGAAAATAGAAGCTATGCCATTTTTCCCGCAACCTTAATCATCATCAGTCTAAAAGGATGTTTAGATCTTTGAGAGAGTTTCAGTTAAAGTTGACTTGTGTCTTTTGTATCATCAATCAAAGGATGATACATAGTTTTGATGTTGTGCCTTTTTGCTGAATTTTTCTGTATCAGCTCCTTGTGTATGTTTAATATTATAATTTTTATGCTCTTAGTTTCTTTTATCTTTCTAATATGATGCTGATGTAGGACAATCCTATCACACCAGATGCACTCAATTTTGTGTCAATACTTGGCATACACATGAAAGATCAAATTTCTTTGCATGAATTTTAATGAGGTCCCAGTTCTGTGTCAAGTGTAGAGACTATGTTTCATTACAGCATCATCTGCCCTTTGATTAAAACATCATTTACTTTTTCTTAAGACAAACAATTGTGCACAGATTTGGAACTAGTGAAAGGCAGTGGGTGGAAGCCCAAGTTGAGAATGCTAAGCAGCAAGCTATTCTCATGACACTTAAATCTCAAGTGACTTCAGATGAAGCTCACATTCATCTCGATCTTCATTCTCTTCGGTAGTGCTCTACCTTCCTCCGATTTTAGCATATTTTTTGTTGCAGCATTTTGATTATCTGTTTCCTATAAATGAGATGCTTATTGTTCTCTAATTTCATTCCATAAGAAAATGTTATGCTGTATCTTATGTTATTTTTAATATTTCCTGCTCTATATTTGTAAGTTACATTAGTTTTGTGTATCCTTAATTATTGCTCTTTGAAATGGAATTAACCTCTCAATGGGTATTAAAAATGATAATCCCAACCTTATCTGGACATTCAGACTTCACTTGGCTATGGGTGCGGGTGTAAGGATTTAAGGTTGGTAAGGATTGGAGAGTGGAAGGGACCTCCGCTTCTTATTTTCTTGGAAGAACGGGGGGAGGGAAACAGAAGGTGGAAGGGTGAGCTGATCCATTGTAAGCAATACGTCAACTTCAATGCTTTCCCTCAAACATAAGGGCTTTGGCCTTTGGGGCTCCTAACACACGTCTGAAAGGTAGTAAATAAGTCCAACTACCCCTTCGATTGAGCAAACACACTTCAAATATGATCTCGTAAGTATAATGAATGAGGATTATGGACTCTTTGAATGGTAAAATATAACTAGATATAGTATCATAATCAACATAACTTATATATGGTGGCCGATTTGTGATTTCAAAAGCTTCGTTGAGAAAACTAACTGATGCGATAACATCATTATGATGTTCTATACTTGCTCGGCAACTGTACTCTACTAAGCAACTGAGAGGAAGTAATATATCCTTTACAGAAATGACGGCATTGAATCTTTCCCATTTTCCCTCATCATGATGAATTTAGTCGTAATGACTACAACATAAATAAATCAAAGGAGAAAGAGAAAGACGAGGGAAGAAAGTGTTTGGTGAGCTTAAAATTGTGAATAAAATCATTTTATCAAGTATGGGATCTTTATTCTTATTTCTGCTTCCTGGAAGAATTTCTATGAGGGCTGCACATTTGTCAGATATAAGGAATCAGTTTAGAATTTTATATGCTATCATGTTTAATAAAAAAATATTTATTTTTCTATTCAATTATCAAAATAGAATGAAGAAGCTTGGCTATTCCTTTTTTTGGACATTCTGTTCATCCTTTTTTTCATGATACAAGTTTAAATCTTGGAAATTCTGAATTGAACTGCTGCTTGTTGCTTCATTTAGGCAATTAATACCCTTTCAACTCTGAACGGCTACAATAACCATTAAACTGTTTTTATCCTTTATCCCTTTTCTGCTGCAGCATCACTTGTACACACATGCTTGGATGTATTTAGTTCTTTCAGACTATGAAATTACTTGTACGCAGTATCACTTGATACAGCATACTTTTGGTGCTTTTACTTATTTGGATAATAGTATGACCCAGGTTGGTGCAATTACTTAGGTTGGGTGCATTTGGTGCCAAGACAGGAAGGAGGAAGATATTTCTTCAGTCTTCCGATTGAATCGTTTTCTTATATGCATTGCAACGAAGATCCCCACCCCCCCCCACCCCCACCCCAGCTGATGTTATTTTCATTTTATGTTGTTTTGTTTGTTCTCGAGAATATATTTTTTAAATGTGATATATCTGGTAATTATCCAAGACGGTTGCTGTTAGTGTTCATATAATTGTGTGATGGAATGATAAACTAGTCTTAAGTGATTTTTCTTTATTTTTGTTGAGCAAGCTGCCATTTGTACCTCATGATATTTGCCCATTTAAAAAGAGAATCGAAATCATCTTGACAAGGTTCTAGAAATATAATTTGACATGTCAGAACAGATCACAATAGAAAGAAACATTAGCCTGAGGAAGAAAGTTCATTTTTGCATGCAGTAAAGCTCTATCCTTCAAATTGTAAAATGTTGTAGGTCCAGATTGCACAATAGCCCTTCGATGCTCAAAATTTGACCATGTTATCTGGTAAAGTTTGTTTTGTGTGGGGGATTTTTGGTATACACTATATCCCGACTAAATACATGTTTCTAACTGGAAATAATAAATAATCACTGCAATTTGTGCAATTAAAATATTTATGACTTCACTAAATGTAGCGAATTTTATGTTTGTTTGTCATCATACTTTTATCCTTTGAGCAGGAGAAAACATGCTGAACTGGCTGGAGAACTTTCTTCTTCATATCGCAAAGAAGAGAAGTTATTATCTGAGGTTTGTATCTGCAAACTGTGAGAATTTTAGAATTATATGCCAATATGCCCAATGGTCCTCTAAGTGTTCCTATGCTGCTGAGATACCTTGTAGTGGTCCTTGCTACTTCTAACTTCATTGTTTATGTATATACTTTGCTCTTTGTCCTTCCATAGGAACCCTTGGGAATCTGATATTTACTTCATTATTTATAAAGCCAGTGGTTGGTTTGTTGATAGTTTCCTGTGAAACTATAATTAGAAATTATATGCCTCTCTCCTCCCATATCAGTGAGCAAGCCACATGTATATGTTGGTACCAGAAAATGGATGGAATAAGTTCTGTGCAAAGTGCAGCTTCAGATTTAGCTAAATTAAACCCCTATAGGATCACCCTTCCCCTAGACCCAACAACAAAAACAACAAACTAAGCCTTATTTCTAATATAAATTTAGGTTGGTTACATGAATACTTCATTGCCATTCAGCCCCATCATTGCTAATTCTACTTGGTGCTTGTAAGCAACTAGGTCCTTAACAACTACAAAAGTCCATGTTAATTCTGGTCTGCCCTTCCAGTTTGCTCTACCGACTTGCATCACTCTTAAGAATGGGTTAGGTTGACACAAAACATGTCCCAATCACCTAAGTTGTCTTTTTCCTTAATTTATTTTCAATCACCACCACCTTCACTTGCTGGCATATATTCTAATTTCTTATCTTATCCATTTTAGTATGACTACGTCCATCTTAGCATCTCATCATAAATATAGAACAGGTTAGTAACCTGGGGCATAATGATCATGTGAGAGAACTAGAAGAAAAAACAAATCCAGATACATAGATATCAGTACGTTTCATGGAACATTTTTGGGGTGCCAATTAGTATTATATTGATTAATCGCGTTAAAGTTTTGCAAATCATAGTAAGAATTGTTTGATAGTGAAGTACAATATATACAAAGCATAAATGACTTGGGGATTGTAGCCTAATAGCAGGGGGAATCAAGCTTGCATGACTGGATAGGATTTGTGATCTTTCTTGACTGTTTGTTGTGATGTTTCTTACTAGAATATTAATATACAATTCTCTCTGTTGGAAAATATAGATTAATAAATAAATTTCTGTCTTCTTTAACATTTTAAACCTTTTTGTGATCTGGTAATTTGAATAAGACCTTAGAGTACACAAAGGAACTAAACTCTCAACTCTCAAGTCTCATAACTAGCCATTAGGAAATTGCACTTGCTAGCCTTTCAAGAAAATGATTCCTGCTAGCACACGAGGCGGTGTGCCGAAAATATTGATAAATAAATTTCTCTCATCTCTGATAGTCTAAATTTTAGATGTGGTTCTTTTTGGAGTTTCAAAAAGCCTTGAAGACTAGTCACATGAAGACTAGTCACATTTTCTCTCTCTAAGAGTAGTGTGTTATTTTCTCTGTATATATAATTTATATAGCTCCTGTTTCGGCTCCATTTTTTTAAAATTCATTTTCAACCATACTTTTTTCCATAAAAATAATGTTTTATTTTAGCAATGAAAGCATGATTGAGTGCACAGCTGGAGAGAAACTTCATGCAACAAATAGGCTAGATGATTGCCCCAAAATGAACCACATTTCTGGGTTTCTATTAATTTGTTGATGTTTTATTATATACTCATCCTTAGTTATAGCTTTCTTCCATAGGGTTACATTTCAGTAAATTAGATGATTGCCCCAAAATGAACCTCATTTCTGGGTTTCTTTTAATTTGTTGATGTTTTATTATATTCTCATCCTTAGTTATAGCTTTCTTCCAAAGGGTTACATTTCTGTAAATGCTCACTGCAAATTTCTTCAGACCATTCCTGATCTCTGTTCGGAGCTGGCTCAGCTGCAAGACACGTACATCTTGCAAGGTATAGATTTTTTTGGTTGGAATCATGAGTAAGCATGCCATTCTATATCTATATATTTACCTTATAGATGTCTTTGCTTGCAAGTTGTTCTTGTTGATAACATAAGTTCATGACTTGAATATATAGGGGATTATGATCTGAAAGTTATGCGGCAAGAACTCTATATTACTCGGCAAAAAGTGGTATGTTTAGCACACTGAATTCTTTTCATGTTGCATGTGCAAAGATATGAATTGAGTTCATTCCACGATAATGGTTGCATTTAGCATATTTTGACATTTCTTCTTCTCAACCTATTATCATTAGCATAAAACAATCAACATGTCCAAGTTCTAATTAATTAATTTACACAATTAAATTCGATAAACTGTTTAAATTAATTTCAAATCAAATTAAACATGATCAAACTAAATCCAACAACAAAAATAGAAAGCAAAATTAAAATGAAATAATTATATTAGGCACACAGAAAGAAAATGAAATTATTAAGTGATGGGAAATTGGGAATAAAGATAAGGATAGAAATATAGTCTAGATAGGATTTTAAAATAAAGTTTAGTTCGAATTATGAATATTTGGATGATTAGATTAATTTCAATATTTTGATAAAATTCTAGTTTAGTAGAAGTTCTTTTGATTTTAGATTAGTTTCTCTATAGATGGAGGGCTTATTCGTTGTAATAGTTACCCTTGAATATATGAACAAATTGATTTTTTCTTTGCTCTAATCTTCTCTTTTTTGATTCCCTTTCTTTACTTGCTTTTCAATTGTTCATTGTCAAATTGGTATGTTCTTGCGCGCATCAATATGAGCAATGTACCTGGGAAGTAGGGTGAGGGATTTAGAGTTTAGAGTGGGAGGCGAGTGGTGGGGCTAGGATCTTTGCTGGAATTCTGTGCGCACGCGTGTCAGGGACTCGGGGAGGGGGTATAGGAATTTAGTATTTTGGGATAGTTGGGGTTGCCCCTGAGGGTGGGTTTGCAATTGATTGAAGTCAGTGGGGTTCCACCAGTCTGTTGTGTAATTGGGTTAGCTCTTTTCAAAGGCAAAATGGCAAATAGCCAGATTGGAAGACAATTACAGTATTAAAAAATAAATAAAATAAATACTATTGAAAAAAAAAAAAGGATCCCAGCATCCACCCCCGTTCCCCAGTGCGTTTACCCTACATAATCTAATGCTAGTAGGAAAACTGAAAATGTACATTAATCATGATTTTTTTTGCTGTCAAGTTCATCGTTATTCAAATACCTAGCCTAGTCACATGGCTTGTTTAGGTTAATCTGCATACGATTGAAAACAATAAGGAAGATCTTGTTGGAAAAATATAGAACTTAGTATAAACATTTTGGTTTTGGGATGGGGCGAGGAGGATTGAACGAAAAGAACACTATCTTTTGATGCATGTTAGCTCTTAATTACTATCAAATATCTTTCATGGCCCAACTTCCAGTTTTGTTTAATCTGAGGATGATGACGTGGGACAGTGAAAGCTTCAGTTACACGGCACTAATTTCATTTTCCAACTAGAAATTTGATACCCTGTATCCTCAGAAATCTTGAAAAAGAAAACATAATTGATTACACTTTCCACATTGTCTGTTTGAGTACAATGACAGATGCTGTCAAGTGCATTTGCATTAGTATGAAACAGAAAGTAAATAACAATCTTTGCAGCTATGCTTTAGAAAAATCATAATATAAAAGGGTAATGATTGAAAGTTGTTACATTGCTTTTTGTGGTGATTTACCATTTACATTTCTGTGACTTTGACTAACCCCTAACAAGTAATTTATTATATGAAAAGCATCTTTTTCACACTGTTGGGAGCATGTAAATTTTAAAGTGTTGATTTCTTCAATGCGTTTGAAGAACTTCTATTTGGACTTGTTTTTACAATAGCTCTTTTTGTTTGCTGGATTTACTTAAATTACTTTTCTATTTTTTGTAGTTCATAAATCATTTAATCAATCAGCTATCACGGCATCAATTTTTGAAATTAGCATGTCAATTGGAAAAGAAGACCATGCTTGGAGCCTACTCCTTGCTAAAAGTTATCGAGTTAGAGCTGCAAGGGTACCTGTCAGCAACCAAAAGTAGAGTGGTATGTCTGCAATCAATTTCATGTTAGTAGAGTGGTATGTCTGTAAAAATTCCCAGTTGTTTGATTGAGCTGGAATTTCGGAATTGATGGACAAAATTTTATATGTTGTAAAATTTTGGAGATCCCTGGACGGAAGTTTTATTGGAAATCCATGATTCCTTTATCATTTTTCCTTGGCTTCATTTTCCATTCAGACAAGCATTGTCTTGGAGGAACCTATATAATAATCTACAAAATTTATATATTTTTTTTCCAAAAAAAGGTGTTACTGTTAGTAATTTGTGCATGCATCGTATTAGGGCCATTGTATTGCATTGGTTCAAGCTGCATCTGATGTACCCGAACAAGGAGCGGTGGATGATCGAGACATTTTTCTCCATGGTGTTAGAGATCTTTTGAGTATCTACTCGAGTAAGTCTGCAAATCTTATAAAGCATAGTGCTATTTTTTACAGAAAAATGAAGTCTCATTTGTCGATTCTCAGATGCTCAAGTTGGTTTATCAACGTATGTGTCTGCACCGGGCATTGTTCAGCAATTATCTAACCTCCATTCAGACCTGATGGCTCTGCAATCTGACCTAGAACATACCCTTCCAGGCGACAGAAATAGATGTCTTAATGAACTGTAAGTTATTCTTCCAATTCATATTCTTACTCTTTTAATGTCACCTCGAAGATGGTTTTTGAAATCAATTTTTTTGGTATTTAAGATTTGAAACTCTTTGCTTACATCTGGATATAAATGTGTCCTTTGCTTGCATGCCCAACTTTACTGTCCTTCGGGAAACTGAGTGCTGCTTTGAAGTCACAATTGTTCTTTGGTCCATTCCTATTCAAAGATTTCTCGCAAACTATTCTGAGGAACTGATGATAAGCCTGGCTATGAAATGATTTTGCACCTATACATAATGTATAACGTTGGTTGGTACTTGATACACTTTCTGTCTGCTCTAGAAGAAATAATAAATGAAACCGTCTGAGCGTTCAGCACATTGATTATTTAATGAGCAGAGAAGAAATTGCTGTGATTGAATTACTTTCACTAAATGTCTTCCCATCGAGGTGTACGTGTGCAGTTTGTTACCAGTTTATTATGAGGACTATCAACATGCACAATCAGATGCCATCTATTATGAAGACTATCGAGTGTTTGAAAGTTCGTTATGTCATTGGACGAAATACTCCTGAATTGATATATTTCACTAGATTGAACGCTTTGTTGCTGCGAGTGTCTTCCGTGTTTCACAAATAGATAGTAATGCAGTTAATGATGCTATGCACAAGTAGCATATCGCTGATATCTTTCTTTTGATATATCTCAGGTGTATCCTTGTTCAAAATTTGCAGCAATTGTTATTTGCATCATCAACAACTGCGCAACCAATACTGACACCATGGGTACAATTTTCTGTTATATTCTTATAATTGTATCTTTCTTGTTACATATTTAATATTCTCTGTCGTACCTTTGGCCCAAATTAAGTTTTTAGCATCCTCTGCACGCTTTTGCTATTTATATCAACTTAATGGAAAATTATGTGGGCTCTCATCAAGTATCTAGGAGTTCTGTTTTTTCTCTAGTATTTTTTAAGTTTCAATTATCGGCGGTCTTATATTTGATTTTTCTTCTAATGGCAATGTTTAGGGGTGTTATAATATTCGAAAGACCAATAAGTTTCTTTGTAATCACAGCAAACCACGTTAATTTTGTTCTGCCTATATTGACACATCACTCTTGTGAGCAAGCATGACCTTAATTAAACATGCTTCAACCAATCAAGCTGGCCTTCATTAATTTCATAGACTGTTCTTGTCTTGTAAAATATTGATGGAAATTACTGGTGTCATTTCTTGGAAAATGGAGTTTTTCTGTATCTGTTTCTATCCCCACGTTCTTTTGGTTTGTGGGTGAGTTTACTAATCAATTTTATTGGTTACAGCTGAACGTTCGGTATTTAAATGAATCTATGGTTTGCTTAAACAAATTGACATACATTCACATCATTTTAATCTTCTCATTGCTCTCGATCTCTAGACATTGATGAAGGAGCTGGATGAAATGGAAAAGGTCAATGCAAAGCTCTCAACTGCAGTTGAGGACGTGACACTTGAGCATTGCAAGAAGAATGAGGTATATTCAGTTTCATTCCTCCAGTTGCTGTGTTATAGCTTTCATTATTTCTTCAGTCGAATCTTTAATTTCTTGCTAATCTTGAATTATACTTCTTCAATCATTTACAACCATGCAGATTAAGGATAATAATTCTCATTTTAGAAAATTTTAAAAATAAAATTTGTCAAGCTTCATTGACGGGATACAATTTTGCTAAGTTAAAAATGTTGCATAAGTGATATCTCGTGTTAATCTTTTTATCTTGAAATGTGTTTCATTAACCTGAAACTTGTGCCTGCCCTATATCTCTTAAACGATGCTTACTCTCTTCCACATCCTTACTAAATGCAGATTGTAAAACATCATTCACAAGAGATAACATTCCAAAGGCGGGTCTTTGTTGATTTTTTCTGCAATCCAGAACGTTTGAGGAACCAAGTCAAGGAACTGACTGCAAGAGTCACATCTTTGCAGACATCATAACATGTACAGTTGTGTGTACGATATGTATTAGTTTTAACTAATCGAATATGCTGTTTGTCGGTTCCCATGTTTGGTTGATTATGTTTTCCTTATAAATTGGAAGTTTTCTTCCTTGATCTGTTTGTGTATGGTTTGTCAATGATGATTTGCTTCATGAAAACCTCTTTTTGTGCATCTTTCACGTTGTAAAAGTATGTCGGATCATAATATGTTTGGTTCTTGCAATATAAGAAACGACTGATTTACTGATTTCAGAATCTTAGATTGTATTGCATGGTTGAACTCATGTTCACTAAACTTTATTTTATTTCAAGTTGGTTATTTATAAACTCTGTTATAATTTGGTCATTCTGTAAGCAAAAATACTCTCAAGGACAAACTGGGATCATTATATATTTGCTACTACATTTATAAATGGATATTATATTCTCTTGGAATCTCTTATTTGAAAGTTCTTGGCATCTTGAATTTGTTGTAGTAGTTGGCTGAAGACTGGAGGCAGAAGGTGCTATGTCGAGTAAACGTCCGGTGTGTTGGTGTTTTCATGGTTTAGTTTTCAGGTGTAGGTGACACGAGAATGATTTAGGATGTGTGGTTGGAGAACATGTACAGAGTTTCTTTGTTTTATCTATTTGCTTGCCGTCCTCTGCATTAATCCTTGTTTTTCCTGTGAGTAAAAATAAAACTGTGGTTATTTTTGAGCGGTACATGAAATTAATGTTAAACTCTACCAGAAATACTGCAACAGATTAATTAGAAGCAACATGAATCAAATTACACGAGCGTTGGAAGAAAATATTTGTTTGTTAAGGTCGATTGGATAGTGGTAAGTATCAAGAAAAGTTGGTGTAACTTTTTCACATAAACACGGTCGTTCTCATTTCATAAATGAATTGTTATTTTTCTACGTACTCTTCATTAGTTTTATCATCTTGTTTGTGTGACTTCGTGGGCCTTTCATTGAATCAAAAGCTGTAAAAAATATTTTTGAGGAGAAGAGAAATACACACAACAACGTGTATTTAGGCTCTCTCTCTCTCTCTCTCTCTCTCTCTCTCTCTCTCTCTCT